AGGAGTCAAAATTTCAGAAGAAGATCACATAGATGTGATTCTTGATGGTTTGCCTGAAGATTTCGATAGTTTTGTGACCTCCATAACATCTCGAATTGATCCATACACAGTAGATGAGATCGAGGCTCTACTTCTTGCACAAGAAGAGAGGTTTGACAAGAGAAAACGCAATGAGATAAGTCTTGTTCATGCTAACACTGCCTCAGTACCTGCTCAATGGAAAAACAATGACAACAATTCTGGTATAGGCAACAATAACTACCGAGGTGGTTTTTCTAGAGGCAAGTTCAATCAAAGAGGTGGACAATGAAACGGTCGTGGTAGAAACAATGGTGGCAGAGGCAGTGGAAGGACAAACTGGAATTAGAATAATCACAATTCATGGCATCAGGTAAAAATTTCTTGCCAAATTTGTGGGAAAAATGGCCATATTGCTCTTGATTGCTGGAACAGGTATAATCAGGAATATCAAACTCAACCACAGGCCCACGCCTCTCAAATGTATCATCACAACAATGCTTCAGGTGATGCTACAATGCTGGCCACACCGTCTATAGTAGTGGATCCTCTTTGGTATCCAGATTCAGGTGCTTCTCACCACATCACACATGATGATTCCACCCTGTCGACCAAAAATACTTACACTGGCTCAGACAAAGTTAATATTGGTAATGGTACAGGCTTAGATATACATCATGTTGGTCATTCATATTTGCACTGTCCTAAATTCTCTAAAAATGTCATTCTTAATAATCTTCTTCATGTCCCTTCCATAACAAAAAAATTACTTAGTGTGTCACAATTTGCTCGGGATAATCATGTCTTACCCACCTTGCCTAGTCCTTCACTTGGTCGGAATTTCCTTCTACCTCTCAAAGCTTGTAGCATAAGCTTCTCCTTAGCTTGTTTACCAAGCAAGCTAAATGAGAGGCTTGCTCTCCAAGCTTCTAAACCGTGGAAGGTTGGCTAAATCTTACCATGATTCCTAGTGAACCATTGTTAAGGTTAGCTTGCCCTCCAAGCTTCCCTATCCTATATATTTGTTTTTCCTTCATTGTAAAAAACTTTTGGCATATATTGAGATTTATTTTTGAAGATTGTTCAGAATTCTCTCTTCTAAAAGTCCCTAAACCTCTTTAATATTCATCCAATTCTCTTGTCCCTTCCCTAGAAGAGTGTGGTGAGAATTGAAAAGACTTATCTCTTCATCAAGGAGTGGCGTCTCTTGGAAGAGTTCTCCACCAAACCGTGGTGATTCTAAGGTCTCCTCCTCCATTAAAGACCTTAGGCAAGCTTAAGAAGAATCAAGGAGCAAAGATCTAGGAGGAAATTGAAGGGAGTTCCACATCAATCTGGATTCTCCATAAGGTTTCCATCACTCACCTTGTGGAGAGAGAAAGTGGCTTATCCAACTTCAACTATAACATCAGTTGGTATGTCTTGAGAGAAAATCCTGCAAAAAAAATGCAAGAAATTAGTTATTATAGAGATTGATTGGAGAGTATAGTAAGCATGTGCATGGATGCATGGTGCATGGATTTAAAAATGAAATTAGTTGAGTGTGTTGTGTACCATCACTACAAGAAAAATGATGAATTGCAACGAACAAATTGCGACGGTTATCCTGAAACCGTCGTTGCTTTGATATTGCGACCCTTCATACGACTGTTTCTCCCAATTGTCGCAAATTTTTTTTACATTGCGACAGCTTGTAGTAAACCATCGCAAAATTTTTCAACATTGCGACAGTTTGTAGTAAACCGTCGCAAAATTTTTCAACATTGCAACAGTTTGTAGTAAACCGTCGCAATCTATATTTAGAAATTTATCTATATTGAGGTAGTTTATAGTAAACCGTCGCAATCTACAAGACAAAAAATTGAAATAAAAATTCACACAAAATCATGCACACTCCAAAATTTTATAATTTTACTTTCAATAAAAAAATAGAAAAATAAAATCATAATGACATGTAATTACATTTAGAAATGTCAAAAAGGAAAAATACTTTAATATACTATATTAATTTTATTTCTCTATCTTTTAAATTATTTTAGAATAAAATTTTTTTGTGTTAATCCTAGGAAGCTAACAATTAAAAAATATATATATGTATATGTTGCATTTTTTTATGTGTTAGTGAAATTAATAATACATCTTAATTATGGATTGAATCGAGAATATTGAATAACTAATAAATAATTTATGAAATTTATTATTTTAATAGTTAATTAAATATGAGATATTTGATAAATTAAATTATCTTTTCACACATATTAACTTAAAAATCACTTCTAGGTTTGAATATAATACACACACATATATAACCCCTATTTAATTAGAATTTAAAAGTTATTTTTAGTACAAACTAAATATTATTTTGTTCAAATGTGACGGTGAAATTTGATAAAATTTAGGATTAAAAACACATTTAATAGTAGACTAGACCAAAAGTAATATTTTTCTTTTAGAAATATTATATTATCTTAATAAACTTATATTTTATTAATAATTTTATATATATTTTGTTTAATATGAGATATACAATTATCATCAACAAAAATTTAAATATATATATATATATATATATATACAAAGAGAGAGAGAGAGATGATGAATCAAATGACTCACAAAGTAACTCTTTATAAAGTTACTCCGCTCAATAACTCATGTTGTAAGTTGAATTTTATCAATCCAATTATTAAATTAAAAGTTCTTAAATTTTATTAATAATTAATATAGAAAAAATTGATTAGAAAATAAAACAAGGATAAATATATTTTTTCAATTTTATATCTTAGATTTAAGATGAATAAATAAATTAAGTTAATTAATAATTTATTTAAATGTTAAAATTTAATTTATAAAAATAATATTTTAAAAGAGAAAAGTTATAATAACACCGGTGTAACTTTTACTAAGTATTACACCGCTCAATAACTTTATATTAAATGTGAATTTTATAAATTCAACTGTTAGATTGAAAGTTTTTAGTCTTAGATCATATATACAAAATTTTATATTAATTCAAGATGATTTAATACTTCATTCTTGTAAAACAAAATTGACGTAATATATACATTTCAAAATATACTAAAATATGAACACTTGATTACCTTCAAGTTGTTCAATTTTAACAAAATTTGATATAAACATATAAAGTGATATGAACTTTTAATCCAACTGTTGGATTTAAAAAATTCACATTTAATATAAAATTATTTAGCCGTGTAATACTTAGTAAAAGTTACACCGTGTTATTATAATATTTCTCATTTTAAAATATATAAATTATTTAAACTTTTAAATTTATAATAAATAATTTAAGTTGTATCATAATATTAATTTTAAATATAAATAAGTAGATTGTTAATTATAAAGTAAATATATATATAAATAAATATTAATTAAATATAATATAATTATTATTAGTAATATAATTATTATATATTTATCACGGTTCGGACACACCAGAATGAGAGGGATCCAAAGATAGTATAAGTATGAGATTGTATAGTTGAGAATGACTTAAATGAATTAATTTGTACTATTTATACTGACAACATGTATCTGCTTTTCTATAGCTTATCTCATCAAAACTCCACAGTTAAGTGTGCTTGACTTGGAGTAATATATGGATGAGTGACTTTCTGGGAAGTTTCCTAGAAACTGTGTAAGTAAGGACAAAATATGCAAAAAAGTTATTGTGAAATAGAATCCTTGAGAAGAATATCAACCGAATTTGAGAGGTCTATAAAATTTAATAAAATAAAAAATAAATATTTAGCGATTGATTTAAAAGCAATTAGTGCGTCAAGTAGCGTAAGGGTCGCAATTCCAATTTTGCGACAGTTTGTGCAACAGTTTCAATAACCGTCGCAAAATTCACTCGTGACAGACATTTTTACGATAGTTGCAATGGTGTCTCTGCGGCAGTAACCATCGCAATATAGGTCGTATAACTATCGCAAAATCGTTATTTTCTTATAGTGTATCGCTCAATTCTCTCTTTGACAAGAGAGAGTCTATTATTGGGAGTAGTGGCCATTGCCTGTGGGTGGTTTGGTTTAGGGAATGGGACATTTCGGAAACTAGCAAGGCAAAAAGAATGGAATCGATGAGATTGGAATAAAGAATAGGTGTCTTGGTACGGACCATTATAAAGAATGAGTTACTTTTTACAAGTGATTTTCACCTGCACAACGTCCTTTTTTATTTCCTAATCATAGTGCAAAATCATTTAAAAAAACGTCAACCAGCATAACATTTTTAATTTTAAAAATTTATGCGCAAATTGTCAAATGGTTTAATGCTTTCAAGTTGTTTGTATTTATATATTGAACGTGTTATATAGTGTGAATTTTTTTTCCCACTTTTTATCATCTTACGTGTTAAAAATAATTTTTTAATAAAAAATTTTAAATTAATTTATTTCAGTAATTTTTTATTTTTATTTTATTTATTATGACCAAAAAGCCTCATTTTTCATAAATTATGTTAAAAAACACGATCTTGAAATGTGGTGCAATTATTGAGTTGTTACCAAAATATAGTTGCATGACAAAAGACTTCAATAATAACTTTTATAAAATAAAAGAGTTTTGAATTTGCATTAAAAGAATATAATGGGCCATTAGTATCATAAACAAAAGGATAAAAATGTATTAAGGAAATGTCACACCAAAATTTGATTAATATTAATTATATATATATTATAAATTATAAATTATTATTATATATTAGTAGAATTACAACTCTTCACACTTCTATATTTATTTAAAAATATTTAAATTATTAATATTTATTAAATCAATTGATATTATATTTAAATTTTTAAAGTCTTATAATTGGTATATATATATATATCACCAATTTTCTTTAACTTCTACTCACTTTAGATTTAAAGAGAAATTAATCACTATTTTCGAGAATAAATACTTATTACCTATATTATATTTAAAATGAAAAAAAAAAAAAAAAACTTATTTTAGAGCTAAGCTTTCTCTTGGTGCGAGACCCGCACGCTACTTTTTTCTTCCTACTCCTACTCTTGTTCTACACTTTACTGTGGTTCCTGCTGCGAGACAATTAAAAAAAAAAAAAAAAAACAGACATTCTTGATTGCTTGTTGTCATTTTACGTTTGAACATTTGGAAATATGATGAAGAATTCTCTTGTGTTTGTTGCTACAACCATTTCGAAAAGATTCCACGTTCCTCCTTCTCAAACTCAATTCCGATTCTACTGTTCTCTGCCCTCGAACAAGCTCTTCGTGGGAGGTCTCTCTCTCTCACTTCGATTTTGCTTCTGTTTGTTATACCCATTCTTCAGTGTTTATTGACTCCGAGAGTGTTTCAGGCTTGTCATGGTCCGTGGACGAGAAGTCCCTCAAAGACGCATTCCTTTCCTTCGGAGACGTCACTGAAGGTATTATGTCCTTAATTTCTTTTTCCCATGTTTTTTATATGCTTCTATGTGTTCGACGTTTTGTCTCACTGAACTAATGTTGCAAAAATTGGGACTAACGGTTGTTGGAAGTGTAATTTTTGTGACATATCAAATTTAATAGCATTTTTAATCGTGGTGTTTCTATCTCTGCTTGATTCTCGTAGGACCTAGTTATGGTTATATGAAAGGTTTTCAATCGTGGTGTTTGCGTTGTTGTTTCCAAAATTACAGGCAAACACGGATGAATTGCAAACCACACTTTGAAACTTGATTCTGTTTATATCTGCTATTGATGCTTATTTTCCTTCTACATTTCATTTTATTTATTTATTTATTTTTAATTTTTAGATCGATTATGTTTTTAGTCATTAGGCTTTTGGCAATTTTTGTTTTTAGTCATTAGACTTTTGGCAATTTTTGTTTTTAGTCCTGAATGCTTTTTTTATTTTTTATTTTTTTATATATATTAATTTTAGTTCCCAAACTTTTACCAATTTATATTTTTAGTCTTTAAACTTTTACGTCAAAATTTTTTGTCCATGTATAAAAATTTCAGAAACTAAAACTAAATAAAATTTGTCTAGGAACTAAAAACAAAAATTAATAAAAATTTGGGAATTAAAAACATATTTAATCCTTAATTTTAATTAGCTTGATTCAATTTTTCCTTGTTTGTTCATTCCTCTGTGTTGGGTCAGTCTTATTTTTCTCGTACTGTAATGTAATTTGCAGTGGTGTTTTTGACTTTGCATTCACCTAATACGTGGAACAATAAGATTATAAATATAGACTTAGAGAGAGAATAAAAAAATGCTTGGAAATTGTTCCTATAGTGACTAATTGAGTCAACTAGAAATTTATTAAAGTTTGAGCGGTTTTTAAAAATTAAAAAGAGGTGATGGAAATGGAATTAAGAAGCAAAACATCTAACCTCCTTTTAATAAAGATTAGTTTGATAGTGTTTGATGGCTGAGCTGAAGAATGTTTGTTCTCGTACTTCCAATTTGATGTTCTGCACTCATCAATCAACTATAGATTTAACTTACAAATATCAGTAGCTCAGTATTGCAGGAGAATAATATAGTAGTGATATATATTTTATTAAGAAAAAGAAACACACATCTCATGTTCTTTGTTGACTCATGCTTGAATGTATTTGATCATCAAGCACAAGATGATTGGCCAAAGATTAAGGAGGTTATGAATTTTGGATCCAGAATTGGAGGAAAACATGTCTGAATCTTGTCATTTGGATTCGGTTCTGTCAAATTCTAATAGCTGTTATAAATTTATGATGATTTTTTTTTATTAAAGCCGGAATCCACACAACACAGAAAGGTGAAACACATGATTTTTCAGTAATAAAAAATAAAAACAACAAGTGTGTATCATTTCTGAAATATGAAATCAACAGTAGTATGTGGTATTCCAACTGCCACCGAGCTCGAAGAAATATATTTATTATATTAAAATATATGATCACTAAGACATTATTTTACTTATTTTTTAATTGATTTTTTTTATTTGTTTGAAATTGTCTCTTTTTTGTTTCAGTTGTTATAATTGAGAGACTTTTTCTGTTATGTAGATTGTAAAAAAGAAAGTTTAAAAATACTATTGTCCTCCTTGTGCTACGTCATGGGCACACCGAAAGCGTAGAAACTGGATCAGATTTATTGAGTAAAAGGGGAAATTCCCGAGTATAGTATGACCGCTGAACTTCGAGGGTCTGCAACTCCCAATGCTCAAAGGCCCTAACTCTTCTCAATTAACAAGATGAAACAACCCCTCTCAATCCCTTTTCCTATACAGCTAATGGTCTCCTAAGTCCTAACCTAGAACCTCACTCAATGGACCTAATCAATTGTAGACCCATTTCCCTTCTGTTAGATCCTTTCTTTGACAGAAGTAAACACCCAAGAAAACAAAACAGAAGTACCCACAGCAGCACTCTCATTTCACACTGTAAAACCCAGTGGACTAAAACATACAGATTACAATTCCCCCCACCTCTTCATTTAGAGGGTTATTTATAGTAAAAACTTACAACTACAGCTAACCCCTTACGACTTAGTGACATATATATGTAATATAGATTTCTAACCAACTAATTTTCGCCTTTTATTTTTCCTCCTATAATAGACTTGCAGGGTCCGTTTTGGAAGTTCTTTCTCAAGCCTAACACCTTTCTAACACAACTGCTAACTGACCCTATCAATATGCCTTATTTCTTTTTATCCAAACCCCTTACAAACTAACTGAACCTAAAGATAAACCAAGGCCCTCAATTAACTTGAAGTTATTAATACTCTCCCCTAATCATTCACCTTGTCCTCTAGGTGAATAGCTATGACAGCAACAAATAAAGCTCTCGTCAATGTTCTGATTGTTTGAAGAATGGAGACCAAGCCAACCAAACCACTGCAGTCTAAAATTAACTTTGAATCCTCCTAGGGTAAACATAATTATGTGAATACCTCCATTCTTCTTTAATTCTCTTTTTCTTGCAGTAATTTTGCCCATAAGATAGATTGTTAATGCTGTTGCAATGTTGATGAGGTCTCATTGCTGCTTTCCATTTTGTTGGGCCATTCAAACCAAACTAAACCATTTTTTTTTTCCAGTTTGGTTTGATTCGATTTTTGTGGTTTTTAAAATTTATTATTTAAAATTCAACTAAAAATATATAATACTATGTTATTTTTTTAAAATCGTATGTTAAAAAATATACTAAAAGTATATAAATACTAAAATATTATTTCCATTTAATGTAGTTAACACTAATCCTTATCTTATTATTTTAGTAAAAATATTTCTTTAATAAAATTTTGGTTTTCATATTAAATATTTTTTTCCCATATAGTTTGTCACTTAAAAAATTATATTTTTGAATGTTATAAATAATTCATAATTTTTCATTTTAAAATTCAGTTTAGTAGCTTACAATTTTATAAAACACCTTTTTAAATATTATAACATATATTTGGAAAGAAAAACATCTTTTAATAGTTACAATTTTATAAAAACATTTTATGTTTTAATGGAGTATTAGATAGCATTGCTTTATTTGTATGTTTTGTATTCTGTTGTAAGCTGAGTGGTTGTGCCATGTCAGCAAGCTAGTTAGGAGTGTGGCTTCTCTTGTAAGCTTTATATGCCTATATAATTCACTCTATCATTTTTAGAGAGTGATAGAAAATAATAATAGAACATAATTCATTTTACTTTTCTCTCTCTCAAATACTTCACATGGTATCCAGAGCTTCCCGAAGTCTCGCATGGCTTTCGATCCAAAACCTAACTCTTTCACATCTCGCTCGTCCCACTTTGCCACTTTGCTTCTTTTTCGTTTTCGATTACAGAGAAATTATCAAATGACAATTATTTTGTCTGGCTTCAACAAATTGAACTTGTTCTTCGCGTGTATAGATTGCATCATTTTTGTGCATCACCAAAAATTATGAGTTGCTATCTTACCGAAGAGGATCATCTTGCTGATAACGAGAATCTTGCGTTTGTAGCCTGGGAGTTGCAAGATCAACTTCTTCTTGCATGGCTTCAATCTTCGCTATCGTCGTCGATTCTACTGAAGGTTATTGGATGTCGATATTCATGGCAACTTTGGGAGAAAGTTCATCATCACTTCCATTCGAAGACTAAAGCTCAAGCTCGACATTTTCGTTCTGAGCTTTGAAACATCAAAAAAGGTGATCCATCAGTTTCACATGTTCTCACTCGCATTAAATCGATCTTTGATTCTCTTCTTTCAATTGGAGAAACTATTTCACCATAAGAGAAACATGATGTGCTTCTTGACGGTTTACCTACTAAGTATGAATCCTTGGTTACATTAGTGAATAGCAAGCCTTAGTGGTTTGATTTTGATGATGTTGAATCCTTGCTTTTAGCTCAAGAATCTCGTGTTAATAAATAGAAGGACATTGTTGATTCTGTTTCCACTCCGAATTTAACAGAATCCAAATTACTTGAATCAGCTTCTTTACAAAATGTGTCTGTATCAAATACTACACCTCAGGTAAATATAATTGGTATAGCACCTCAGCTTGCAAGTGATGGTTCTCAACACTCTCGTGGATTTCAAGCAAGTTGAGGTGGCAAGTTTGGTTGCAAAGGTGGTAGAGGTGGACTGTGGACGTTCAGGTAGAGGAAATATTCAGTGATTATACCTATCAGCTTATCCTGTTGGCTTTTTGAAGAATCCTTTTCATTATGTCCGACCACAGTAGAGTGTTACTTCCTCTGCTCTTGCTTCATCACCTCAAACCTTTGTTACTAATGTAATTCCTCCACAACAATCACAAAACTTGCCTGTTGATTCAAGAGCTCCTCATCATGTTACTGCTAATCCAAATAATCTTGCTACAGAGGTCCCACTGACTGCTCCTAAACATGTGTTTTTAGGAAATGGTAAAGGTTTGCCCATAAAATTTGTTGGTTTGGTGTCTTTTACTTCTCCTAAAAATCCAAACACTATTATACATCTTCACAATATGTTACATGTTCCATCTACCACTAAGAACTTAGTGAGTGTTAGCAAATTTGCTCGTGATAATCAAGTTTATTTTGAATTTCATTCAACGCATTGTCTTGTTAAATCTCAAGTTGATCACTCTGTTCTGCTTGAAGGTCATCTCAATGTTGATGGCCTCTATTCCTTTCCTCATTTTTCTTTTAGCTGCTATTAGCCACAACACATACCATCATCAATCAAGCCTTCAAGTTCTACTACTTTATCAACTACTTGTACTTCTAGAGTTTGCTCAAACACCGTACAATCACCCACTCTCACCACATTGTCCTTATGGCACAATAGGCTTGGCCATCCTTGTTTTTCCGTTTTACAAAATGTATTTAAATTTTGTAAAATTCCTGTTTCTAATAAAAATGAGGTTCAATTTTGTGTAGCTTATTGTATGGGCAAATTTTATAGGCATCCTTCTTCTCCTTCTACTACTGTGTATTCCACTCCTTTGGAATTGTTGTTTTGTGATCTATGGGGACCAACACCTATGCCTTCTTCTATGGGATATCATTACTATATGTCTTTTGTGGATGCTTATAGTCATTTTACATGGATTTATTTTCTTAAAAATAAATCTGAGACTCTTACTATATTTAAACAGTTTCAAGCCATGGTTGAACTTCAATTTAATCATAAAATCAAGTTTGTTCACTTTGATTGGGGTGGTAAATTTCGACCATTTACTCAGTTTTTAATTCACAGATTAATCTGTCCTCACACATCATCAAAATGGTGTTGTTGAAAGAAAGCATAGGCATATTGTTGAAATGGGATTAACTCTTCTTTCTCAAGCATCCTTGCCTATGAAATATTGGGATCATGCTTTTCACACTACTGTATATCTTATTAACAAATTACCATCTTTATCTCATAACAAAACTATTCCCTATCAGGTTTTGTATAATAAAGATCTGGATTACACCTTTCTTAAGGTTTTTGGGTGTGCATGTTATCCTTTACTCACACCATATAACACAAATAAACTCCACTTGCGGTCAGCAGAATGTGTTTTCTTAGGATATTTTTCTTCTCATAAGGGATATAAGTGTCTTGATAACAATGGTTGTTTGTTTATTTCCAAAGATGTTACTTACAATGAGCAGCATTTCCCATATCAACATCCCATACCATCTACATCTGTTTCAACTTTCAACCAGTTCCACTAATTTTCCTCTTGGGGTTTTGTCCTCTAATGATGTTGCGTCTACTACTACTTCAAATTCATCTTCTAATTCGTCACCATTCTCTACTCATAGCTTACCTAATTCTTCTCCTTTTAATTCCTTACTGCCACCATCCTCCAATATTCATCCAATGCAAACTAGATCCAAGTCTGGAATTGTTCGACCTATACTGCATCCCACACTTTTGCTTTCTACTACTGAACCTACATCCCTTAAACAAGCCTTATCATCTCCATCATGGAAAACTGCTATGTCTCTTGAATATGATGCTCTAATAAAAAACCAAACCTGGAAACTTGTTCCCTTACCTTCTAACCGTATTGTTGTTGGCTGTAAATGGGTTTATCGTATAAAGGAAAATCAGGATGGAACTATTAATAAGTATAAAGCTCGCCTTGCAGCTAAAGGATTTCATCAAAAGTTTGGTCGTGACTATAGTGAAACTTTTTCGCCTGTCATTAATTTTGTATTATACACTATGCATTATGCATGGTATTAAGTATCGTAGGAATCGCGATTCGTATCGTACGATACGATACGATTCCGTGCTTCAGCGATTCGAATCGCATGGTGTATCATTTTTGATCCTGAATCGTTTCCGAATCGTTTGTATCGGGTTTAGAATCGGAAAGTCGCGATTCTGGAAGGTCTCGCACGATTCTGGGAAGAAACGGGTCGCGTCCGAAACCGGGTCGGGTCATGCGCGACCCGGTTCTGAAAACCCTAAAAAAATGATTTTTTTTAATTAAAAAAAGACGAAACTGAGACAGAAAATGCCGATACCCATTCCTGTACATGACCCACTTAGTGGGTTTCACTTTTAGTGGTCCCTTTGTCTCGTCCAGGTTCCCAGCTTCGTTTGGGTTGCTGTTTGGGTGGCTATATTGCTGATTAGAGTAGCAAACAGTCCCTTGTATATGCATATATTTAGCAACAACAATGATTTTTTTGGAAGCTTTGTTGTTGAACTGTGCAGTCATTTCTTTTGGCTTTGAGACTGTTATTATTTGTATAATTCTATCTTTGTTTGTATTTTGAAGCTTATATATTACTGTATATTTATGTATGACTTCATTTTGTCTGTTTCTTTATATTAAAATGTGCTTAGAGTGCTTTTATATGTCTTGTATGCATATATATATACACTGTTTTTATTGATCATGAATCTTACGATTCACGATACGATTCGATTCACGATTCAAAAAATAAGTTTTCCGATACATTATGTGTATCTCGATTCAACTACCATGGCATTATGCATTAAGAAAAAATAAATTTACAAATAAATGTGGTTTGGTTTGATTTGGAGTGGTTTTACATTCCAATTCAAAAACCAAATCAAACTGCACAGTTTTGGAAATTGAAAAATCAAACCAAATTGTTAATTTACAATTTTCCATCGATTTGTGATTTGTTTGATCAATTTGTGGTTTTTCATTTGGGTTGGTTTGGTTTTGAACATCCCTAGTTGTGACCTTCACCTCTGTATTGTTGATCCCTTTTGAAAGATTAATTAGGACAGCTAACCACAATATTTGGTTTCCCATTGTTCAGCTGTGGTTCCATGGCCAAGGTTGTGCTGACGACTTGACCACTCAAGCCAAAGATATTCCCGCCATAGATCGTATTCGTTAGCAGTGAGTAGACGCCTTATTATGCAACATCCTTTGGTTCACCATCGCTCCCAACCGCCAGCCCCAATATTAGGCCTTTCCCACTAGTTACTAGATTTGGACCAAAGCAAGAAAGTGCATTCCAATGATGTCCATAATCTTTACAGTGTCATCACCACTATGATGAATACAAAGTTGGAGAACATGGATATGCAAACCTATCATGGTAAGCTCAATCTGCTAATTGGTGATTATGCCACACTTATGCCCTTTACTAGTGATACAGACGTGTTTCTCAAGCAAAATGAGTTCCTTATGGTGTTGTCTCTTGTCGGTCTCCCATTTAATCTTGATGTTGTCCACAATTAGATTTTGTCAAGACCAACAATGCCTATCTATGACATGGTCCAAGAACAATTGTTACGTCTTTGCACTCCACATGCTTTTGAGCACTCCACCCCTTTCAGCAATTATTTCGCTCTCGTCTCCTACTCTTTTACTCGAGGTGGACGATGTGGGGGTCGTGGTGGCATCATTGGCCTTGTTGCAATTACTATAACTGTTTTAGCCATGTTGAAGTTGAATGTTGCACCAAGGTTAAAGATCGGTCAAAGTTAGTGAATGTGGCCCATGTTACTTTTCCTGCCCTAACTACAGATGTAACTGTCTCTGTCACTGAGTATAATGAACTTCTTTAGCTTTGAATAGCTAACCCACTTGCCTCACCTATTACTATTGTGGTTCGGTCGCCTAATCCTATCGCTTTTGTTTCCCAATCTTATTCTCTTGGGCACTAGATCCTTGACTTCAATGCCTGTGATCATATGATCGGTAACCAAACACTTTTTCTTGTTTGTATTTTTCAACCTTTCTACCCTATGTTACTCTTGTAGATGGCTCTCAAATCCCCATTTGAGGCCTTGGACTAATAAATCCACTTCTTAACCTTTCCCTAAATTTTGTCTTATTTGACCTAAGTTGACATTTTAATTTAATAAATCCAAAAGTCTTTTTTTCACAAGCTTCAATGCGTAATTCTCAATTAATAAAAGTCCTTTAAAAAGGCTTAAATGAGCCTATTAATACTCCCAGCCTAGAAGTAGGTCTTAATCGGAGTTAAGGTGCTTAAACAAGCCCAAATGGAAGTCAAAATACCTAAATACATACAAATTTGTAAAATACGCCTAACTAAAGAGGTTTGCTCAATGAATTCAAAACTCTGATAATAATAGAGATGAGGAAAATATGCTTAGTCAAAGGATGTTAGCTCAAACAAAATTTAAGTAAACAACCAATTGTTCAGTCACTGATTATGTCTCTAATATCCAGATAGCCTTATTCCTTTTTGGCTTTTCCTTCCATTTCTTCTCGTCAGTGACTGATTTTGCCTTCATCTTTGGCCCTCCAAGATCTTCAAAGGAAATTTTAAAAGGATTTTCAAGTCTCTCCCTGGTTGGCAATCAATCCTTTAACAAAATGCATTGAGAAAAAAACTGAGGCCAAATTGGAAGAGTTGTTGCATACAATGTCCGGCCGACTGTTTAATGCTTTAATTGAAATCTTCTATTGTTATTTTTATTCAATTATTATTTAAAACATTTGCATTTGCATTGCACTTGAGGGCCCACTTGCATTTTTCCCACCAATATCTGATTTGTTTCTTTCGTTGATTCACATCAATTCAATATACAATATAATTATCCTTGATTCTGTTAATGTCTTGATTGGGTTATTTTCTTGTAGTGAGGGTAGTGTACGATAAAGACAGTGGCAGGTCTAGAGGCTTTGGATTTGTCATTTTTTCAAATGAAGATGATGCCAAATGTGCTAAGGATGCAATGGATGGAAAGGTCAGACATAAAGTATACCATATATCATTGCTTGTAGAAGTTCCTTCTGAAGTTGATGTTTTCTTGCAGGCACTTTTAGGTAGACCATTGAGGATAAACTATGCTCTTAAGAAGGCTCGTGGTGTACCTGTTGTAGTTCCTTGACTTTTAGATATTGTACATTCAAACAGACGTTGAGTTTGATTTGCCTTACAAAATTCATGTAGGTAAATTCTTATTAATTGTTAGTTGATGGCTACAAAATTTGTTTTGATTTTCACGATATGCGCTCAATTTGTCAAATGAAAATGTAATTTACAAGTAACTTCAATCATTTCCTTAAATCGGGATAAAAGTAACTTAAAATTTGTAGTTTAGGGTTTAGGGTTCTAAATTAATCCTAACAAAACATGCTTATAGTTATGCAGACAAGTCATTGAGTGATGTGACAAATTATGCTCGAGATGACGATAGGTAGGATTTGAGTACAATATTCTAATAATTGTCTACGTATTTATGTTCAAAAAATAAATTCATACTTGCATAAGTAATAACTTTAATTCTCAGCTCTGTATCTATTATGTACCTATATACATACATATATTTACATCTGTTATCCATATGTGTGAAGTCAATAAATTATTTAAATATTAATAAATTGTTACAACTAAAATTTGCTAGTTAAAATTTGTTGCAGACTTTTCTGAGTTAAAATTAAAGCTGATTTATTACAACTAATGGTGAGAGTTAAACTTTCAAATTTGAATAAGTTTTATGTAGATCTAATTTCTGTTATCATGTTGAATTTAGTCTTTTTTTTTTTTTTAATTTAAAGTGAACTATTGTAATTCCAAACTCATGGTAATTCAGTTTTTTCATAAAGGAAATTTTACGAGTTATATGCCTATAAAAGATTGTGTATTCTTGTTAGTGAAATATTGTATTGTGCAGCAGGTGAAGTTGAGTGATTTATTTTTCAAGGTGTTGAGTGAAAGTATTACTTTCAACCATATAGCTCATTTGTAATTCTAGTGTCTAATGGTAATTTCTAGGTAATCTTGCAAACTTGTGAGTGAAAATTGAGGAAAATAAAAACAAAATAATTATTCAAATTATTAGTTTTAAAAAATTAAAGATATGTTGCTTAAGAAAATATTATTTTATTGAATCAATTATAAATACCTCATTAAATTGATTTTTGATTTAAAAATAAATTAAATATATAAAATTTTATATGTGTGATAAATTAATGAAAATAAATTTTGATTTAAGGATATTTTTTTTAATAATAGTTAGTGTAATTTTTAGTAATATTAGTATTTTACTTTGTACAATGCACAAGTTAAATGTTTATTATAAATTTAGGGTTTTGAGTTCAAGAATGAGAGTGAGAGAAATTACAATTGAGACAATTAAGTTTTTGAAAATGTGTGAGAGAGAATAGTCTGAGTCATTAAGACATGAGAAAGATCTCATCGTTTGTAGAATTCTTTGAGCTTTCTATCTCAAACTCAGCTTTGAGAACTTTGTCGCATTCATTTTTCTTGTTGGGTTCACAACTTTTCAAAGAAATAATGTTATTTTCTTGTTAGGTGAACTTCATGAACTCGAAGAGCTCTAAGAAGTTCATTAAGCGTCAAGATTTGTAGGTCTCGAGCTTTAGTGATTGTTGTGGCTTTGGGTTCTCAGATCTTGGGTAAGTTGTCTAAGATCTTCAGATTGTATTGAGCTTTAGAAAACTTAATTCGTAGGGATTTTAATCCATTGAGAATTGTTTGGAAGCGTCCAAACATCTCATCAATGATTTTTTTCTCCTTCATGGAGAACAACTCATAGTGCCTCTGAAGAGTAGTTGCTCTTTTGAACCGCACGTCTTCTGTCCCTTAACGAGTTACCTTGATGGCATCCTATATTTCTTTGGCTATAGAGTAGTTGCAAAGCTTGTTGTACTTGGTTCATGACAATGAGCATGCAATGAGATAGCACCTGCGCCTTGGTGTTGTTCTACAAGATGTTGTAATCTTCCTAAGTATATTGATCCTCAAGCTTAGTGACAGCAACATCACCTTGTGTTATAATCCTCCATAAGGGATACTGGGTGGACTTAATGAACATTTCCATTTAGTCAGTTTAGTATGGGTAGTCTTCTCCATTAAAGGTTGGAGACCTTGTAAGAGAAGCTCCTTCACTACTTCCCATTTGGATCATTTTCCTTTAGCACAATTAGATGCTCAACCTCATCAAAGGTTGATCTCTAATATCAAACTGTTGAGAAAAGATAGACATTAAAAGAGGATTGAATAATGTATATAAAAAATTTGCATGTTTTGCAAGTAAGTGAAGTAGTATCTACAACAAACGAAGGGTTGGCAAGAGTAATCAATGAACACAAGATTTTTTTATACTGGTTCACCTCAACTATTGAGGCTATGTCTAATTCTCAATCCAACCAGATTGAATTCCACTAACTTTGAACAAAGTTACAAGTATTATTTCATGGATCCATTTCTGGCTCAACACAAGTGTTCTTTGACTAGTCTCTTCAAGTCACTACTCAAGTATTCCTTTTACAAATAAGCATCTTTAAACTCAACTACAAGTATTCTTTTATAGTCAAGCCTCTCCAGGCTCTATCCTATAACACTGGTTATGAAGGCATTATAAGGTTGTTGTCGTCGTCTCTTTTACATGTGATTACAACGAAAGTTTAAGTGCAAGAAATTTGTTGAAGGTTTTCAATGTAAATGGTTCTTTCTTGAGTTGTATGTGTTCTTTATTTCTTTTGTTAGTGTCTTTCTTTCTTTTGAGTTCCAAAACTTCTTATATAGTAGCTTCAAAAGAGATAACCGTTGCAGATTCTTGAGTCTGATTCACAAAAATGTTTTATCTTACTCCTTGATCTGATCTAAAGAGAGAGGAAGTATTCATAGGTGCATTAAATGTTTCAATTAATGTCTTTCATCTAAATGTACTCCTTATCTTTGATTGATCAAGCTATTTATCAAAGTAGGATGGAAAAATGGTAACAATAGGAAGCAAAGTTAGTGTGAGGTGAGAATGTAGTACTTCTCCTACACCTTTTCTATGAGATCCGGGATCGTAGTCCTTTATTTTGACGCTCTACATTCTTTTATACACCTTTAACAGAGTATGAGTTCCAAGACAATGACTTTCTATTTGTTAAGGTATAAAGCATTCATTTGAAATTTCAAACGCGCCAGTCATAATAAATAGTACACATTAAGAACATGATAGACAATTGTATGCTTCGTCTAATTTGTTTTGTCTTACAGATGCTACTTTGTCTTACAACATCTAAAATAACGTCTTTTCAAAAATGTTTTCTTACCAAAAGACATAGTGTTTGTTATCATTAAAACTTACAAATAATGAGGAATCTAAAATCGTCTTTTAACTTAATAAAGAAGAAAAGGTGTAGAAAACATCTACATAAAGGAATCAAAGCTCTTGATATCAAAGATGATGGAACAAGGTTGAAGTAGAATGATGTACTTTTTCAACTAACTCTATTTAGCTCCCAAATCTTCTTCCATGGATTCCATAAGATTCAAGATCAAAAATGATGGAGAAGGAGGGAGTGATGGTCCACCACTTCCAATGGTGGATGATAAACAAGAGAGGAGGTTCTAGCCATAAGAAGGATACCTTGATAAAAGAACTTAAGAAGAGGTTTCTCCTTCAAAGAGAACTAGAATTTTGGTAGAGGGAAAAATACAAGAATGTTTCTCATAAATATCAAAAGTGTCAAGTTATACAAGAGAGACATCTATATGTAGGAGTTAGTAGCTTGTGGTGCAAGCTAAACTAAGTTAGGTTAACTTAAACTCAAACTAGTAACCCTAAACTAACCTTACTAGGGTTCAGCCAACCAAGCTCCAAGTGTCACTTTGTTATATCTAAAATGGCCAACCAAGCTCCAAGTTAGGTTTCTCACATTTTGCAGGTTTTCATAATACTATCCAGAAAATAGTCAAATTCGATAATAAAATACATGTCATTGAATTTATAAAATTTTGTTGGATAACATTGCATAAATTTGATTCACAATAAACTTACATAATATTTATTACAATAAAAATATAATAATTTATAGAAAATTATACAAATAAGTAATGTAAAAATTAGTGTTATAGTTGGAGTTAACTTAAGCTAACTTAGGTTATTCTTAAATTAGGATTAGCTTAGCCTGCTCCATAAGCTTCTAGACAACTAACTAGATTTCTAGATATTTAACTATAATTGGTTAGCTTAAGTACAAATATAACTAACCATGGTTATTTTTAACCATGGTTAATCTAGCTTGCACCATAAGCCAACCAAACTCCATATAATTTATCTTTATACCCATTTTATACTAACTTTGAGTATTATATAGTGTTTTGGATGAAAATTCTTCTCCAAATTCTCTCTTTCAAAGCTTAATTCTCTCTTTGAAATTCTTCCTTTTTTTCTTTTCCTATCTTTAGTATGGTGAGAAATTGAAGAGACTTATCACTTTTCAAGAGTGTAGCGTCACCTAAGGGAGTTTCTACCTTCTCTTGTGTGCTAGAAATGACTTCTAACATCAATAGAAGTCATTGAAGAAGCTTGAAGGAGTCCAAGAAGTGAAAGATCCATTGAAGAAAATTGAGGGAGAAGCTACTTCAATCTAGTCTCTCTTAAGGTTTTCATAAAATCTTTTATCAAGGAATTCCTTCTTGTGGCAAGATCAAAACCTCTTACTCAAGGAAAGTGGCGCACCCATTTCTCTTCTTTCTCACCATTTTGGATTTTCTAAAGCTTTTATAATCCATAAAAGAAGATTGAGCATAACAAGGAGACTAGTGAAAGGAATCACCAACCATCTCTCCAATGATTTTCATCAAAAGCCTAATACGATTAGTACAAATAGTGATTCATATAATAAAAAGCTCTATTAATTAAATGTTTACATTTATTGCACAGAATGAATATCTTACTTAAACGTTGAAGTGCCATTTGCAACTATCCATCCCTCATTATGCTTGGAAGCTTAGTACAAAAAGTAAGGAGATAGGAGAATATTACCATAGTACTTGTAGACCGGTACAAGAAAGATTTGATTTGCTCAAAAATTTAGAAAACCCAAATCATTCATACTTTAAATTTTAGAGGTTAAAAATATAAGTAAACTTATTAATTAACTTATTTCTTAAAAAAAAAAAGAAAGGATAACTATCTTAATTATGAGTTTTTTTTGGATAATTGTTTTTAAAGACGTGATGATAAAATAAAAAAGGATAAATAAAATAATTTTCTGCATAATTTGCTAAAGTTCTACTATATCAGTTTTATTAACACACACACACACATATATATATATATATATATATATATAATTTTATAAACAAATTATTTTATTTTCTTTCATATTTTTCTGTCATAAATGTCTTGAGAGAAATTCTAAACTACATGTCTTTAAAATGATTTGTACGTATCCAAAACTATGTTTCAAATAACTATTTGTTCTTAAAATGATTTATGAACTAGGTCCTTGTCTTTTTGAATTCTAAACTCTGTCTTCAACTATAAGTGTTTTTGTGTGAAATTTATGCCATGATGCTCAAAAGGATGGCAAAGGAGCCTAGCCTAGTGACGTGCTTGAGTGCTTCGGTAGCGAAATAATGTAACCTGAGGGGAAAATTTTGATATATGAAAAGAAATATCAAAGCAAAAGTATTCATCAAAATGAAATCCACTACGGTGGATGTGGATGCGTGACTCAATAATTTTTATTGTTAATTGAACTACTAAGTGGGACTATATAATCAATATTTTAAGACAATGGAAGGATGAAAGTCAAAAGCTACAAAACTTTTTAAGAAGGGTAGGAGTGGAATTACGCTAATTAATTAAGGCAAGGCAAGGAAACAAGAGGGGCAGAGGTTGCTTGCGCAAATGTAGCAAATTTGGTCTTCGTTGGCAAGCATCAAGAATAAAGAGAAGGGAAAGATTTGGACTTTGATGTTTTTTTTTTTTTTTTTTTTTTTTTTTTTAAAAAAAAGATTTTCATCAAAAGCCTAATACGATTAGTACAAATAGTGATTCATATAATAAAAAGCTCTATTAATTAAATGTTTACATTTATTGCACAGAATGAATATCTTACTTAAACGTTGAAGTGCCATTTGCAACTATCCATCCCTCATTATGCTTGGAAGCTTAGTACAAAAAGTAAGGAGATAGGAGAATATTACCATAGTACTTGTAGACCGGTACAAGAAAGATTTGATTTGCTCAAAAATTTAGAAAACCCAAATCATTCATACTTTAAATTTTAGAGGTTAAAAATATAAGTAAACTTATTAATTAACTTATTTCTTAAAAAAAAAAAGAAAGGATAACTATCTTAATTATGAGTTTTTTTTGGATAATTGTTTTTAAAGACGTGATGATAAAATAAAAAAGGATAAATAAAATAATTTTCTGCATAATTTGCTAAAGTTCTACTATATCAGTTTTATTAACACACACACACACATATATATATATATATATATATATATAATTTTATAAACAAATTATTTTATTTTCTTTCATATTTTTCTGTCATAAATGTCTTGAGAGAAATTCTAAACTACATGTCTTTAAAATGATTTGTACGTATCCAAAACTATGTTTCAAATAACTATTTGTTCTTAAAATGATTTATGAACTAGGTCCTTGTCTTTTTGAATTCTAAACTCTGTCTTCAACTATAAGTGTTTTTGTGTGAAATTTATGCCATGATGCTCAAAAGGATGGCAAAGGAGCCTAGCCTAGTGACGTGCTTGAGTGCTTCGGTAGCGAAATAATGTAACCTGAGGGGAAAATTTTGATATATGAAAAGAAATATCAAAGCAAAAGTATTCATCAAAATGAAATCCACTACGGTGGATGTGGATGCGTGACTCAATAATTTTTATTGTTAATTGAACTACTAAGTGGGACTATATAATCAATATTTTAAGACAATGGAAGGATGAAAGTCAAAAGCTACAAAACTTTTTAAGAAGGGTAGGAGTGGAATTACGCTAATTAATTAAGGCAAGGCAAGGAAACAAGAGGGGCAGAGGTTGCTTGCGCAAATGTAGCAAATTTGGTCTTCGTTGGCAAGCATCAAGAATAAAGAGAAGGGAAAGATTTGGACTTTGATGTTTTTTTTTTTTTTTTTTTTTTTTTTTTATTAAAAAAAA